TTTCTTGTTTTTACCCTTTCTTTTCAGAGAGGCCTGTGCTTTATGTCAAGATTCTGCAGCCAGGGGAAATTTTCATACCTATGTATTACAAAAGCATTGAAGTATATACGATCCAGAGGCTAGGCAGAATGAAAGCAGATCAACAATTCTCATGTTCTTCATATTACGTGTACTCTAGGATCTATTTCTATGGTGAATCACTACAATTTTCTGGCAAGCCCATAGTGCCTTGGGGGCATGCTTGGTGCTCATTCCTTTGGCAAATTTACTGGATACCGACTCTATTACAACCTGTGTTCTAAGTGCTACCTCATAGCAGTGGATAAACAAGAACTCTCATGCAGTATTCATTCTGGTAGAACAAAACATAAAATAAATAAGCAATTGATATTTAGCATGCTAGATAATCGTTATGGAGAAAAACAAAGCAGGGGCGCTTGGGTGGCTCAGTCATTAAGGGACTGCCTTTGGCTCAGGTCGTGATCCCGGGGTCCTGGGATCTAGCCCTGCATTGGGCTCTCTGCTCAGAGGAAAGCCTGCTTCTTCTTCTCCCACTCCTCCTGCTTGTGTTCCCTCTCTCGCTGTGTGTGTGTGTCTCTCTCTCTATGTCAAATAAATAAATAAAATCTTTAAAACAAACAAACAAACAAACAAACAAACAGCGGTTGCTAGCTATGGCCAGTTTCAAAGTATGGAAATTATAGCTGAGGTGGAATGGAGAAAGAGATCCTCTATTAGAGAGGAAATCGGAAGCTAGGCTATTAGATGTTTCATCCAAATGTTGTTGATATCCAAATGGATGGGAAAGTGATTAATAATAGAAAGAATCTGGATGGAGAAGACTATCAACCTGAAAGTAAATCCTTAATAAATAAGAATGTCCATAAAGTTAAAAGATGACTGCTAGACTAGAAGAAGAAAAAGATGACACAGCTAGACACATAGATCTCAAAAAAAAAAAAAAAGGAGTTTTGATTTGTTTGCATTTGGGGAGAATTGTTTAAGGTTTTATCAAACCTGGATGTCATGAAATGGAGTGAGAATTAAAACAAGAGTCGCATCTATACTCCTGACGCTGACACTTTTGAGGTTAGAATAAACAGCCCCCACTTAAGCAAGCTGCAAGGAAAATAATTCCCCTAGGGGCCTATCAGGTTCAAGTGTAGTGTGATGAAGTAGGTTTTTCTTTTCTTTTTTAAGCATTTTATTTTATGTAGTTCGATTAATTAACATATAGTATATTATTAGTCTCAGAGTAGTGTTCAGTGATTCATCAGTTGCATATAATACCCAATGCTCATTACATCACATTCCCTGCTCCTTAATGCCCATCATCCCATTACCCCACCCCCCCATTCCCTCCAACAACCCAGTTTCTTATGGTTTGTCTCCCTCTCTGATTTCGCCTTATTTTATTTTTCTCTCCCATCCCTTAAGATCTCTGTTTTGTTTCTTAAATTCCACATGAGTGAGATTGTATAATTGTCTTTCTCTGACTGACTTGTTTCACTTGGCATAACACCCTCTATTTCCATCCACGTCATTGCAAATGGCAAGTTTTCATTTTTTGATGGCTGAATAATATTCCCTCTTATATACATATATATACATATACACACACACACACATACATACACATATATCACATCTTCTTTATCCATTCATCCGTCACTAGACATCTGGGCTCCTTCCATAGTTTTGCCATTGTGGACATTGCTGCTATAAATATTGGGGTACAATTGCCCCTTTGGATCACTACATTTGTATCTTTAGAGTAAATACCTAGTAGTGCAATTGCTGAGCAGTAGGGTGCCTCTGTTTTTAACTTTTTGAGGAAACTCCAAACTGTTTTCCAGAGTGGCTGCATTAGCTTGCATTCCCACCAGAAGTGTAAAACAGTTCTCCTTTCTCCACATCCCCATCAAAAGCAGTTTTTTCTTGATAAGGTAGGACATGCAGGTCTAGAGCTTCTACCTTCTAAATACATACTTGGGAAACACAGCTTAGAAAACATGATTATAAGATTCTTGAGGCAGAAGTGTGGAAAACAAACAGCTTACCCCTACTGAGCAATCCAAAAGAATTTCATCAACTCATTATTAGGAGCATAATGATTGTTAAAATTTGTCAAATTAACTTAGTAATAATATCTAATAATGGTGGCAATGATGTAGGAAAAATGTTAGGGTTCAAAGTTGATGGCCAAGAAAGAATTCTTGAGACATCTTTGGTACAAAGTACAGGGACAGGACCCTTGGGCAGAAAGAACTGCACTGGAGTCATAAGGAGTGTTGCATTATATACTTTCAAGTTGGGATGGGGTTAGGGATAGCATAAGTCTCTAAGGAATTTTGGAAGCAAGGTTTTCAGGACCTTAAGGGGGCTAACTATTGTTGGAAAAATGTCATTTATCACTGTCTAATAAAACCTGAGTCACGAGATCCGTCAGATATATACTGGAGGGTCATATGCTTGGGGGATGATTGTCAACATATATCTTGCAGGGCAGAGATAAAGGAAGTCTCCAAGGGAATTTTTATATTTTAAAGTTACAGGATTCTGGGGGGTCAGGCTAGGGTTGTCTTTTGTCCTTAGCAAAGTATTAATATTGAGGCAGTTGTGTTTCTAGAGGAATGTGACTCTGCCTGTTACAAGGACTTATTAATGGGCTACAAGTAGTAAAGAAATATAATAATTTTCTTCTGCCTTTGTTTCCCATATTAGCAATATATTTGCTCCAGAACAACAACAAATGATTGCCCAGCTCAGAAGATAAATCCAACATCATTGGTTTCCTTTCTATTTGTCTCTTGTTTCTATTATTGGTTTGCACAGCATCTTGTGTTCATTACACATTATACAAAGCAGTGTATGTCAAGCATATTATTTAAACTTTAAAATATTTATTAAATTTGTTAAATGTTTATTTTTTTTACACATGCTCTTTGCCAAAAGGCCGAGAAGTGATTCTTAAGTTTTTTTTTTTTTAAAGATTTTATTTATTCACTTGACAGACAGAGATCACAAGTAGGCAGAGAGGCAGGCAGAGGGAGAGAGTGGGAAGCAGGCTTCCAGCTGAGCAGAGAGCCCGATGTGGGGCTGGATCCCAAGACCCTGAGATGAAGGCAGAGGCTTAACCCACTGAGCCATCCAGGTGCCCCTCTTACGTTTTAATATACTGAAAGATGCATAGATTTTCCTGGGTGAAAAGGGATGCATAAGTTGGATTGCCCCAAAAGAAAGTTCTATACGTTTGAACATTCATTTGTAATACCATCAAAAAGTGTGGGAAAGAGAAGATAATAATCTACACATTGTTTTTTTATTTATTATTATTACATTCAGTTAGCCACTATATAGTTTATTAAAAAGAAATCAAGTGAATCTTTGACGCTATGAAGTCCTTGTTAATTTTTAGGTAAGCTAATGGTCTTGGGTTGTATTGAAGGGGTTGTATTTTTGTATTCAGAGACTTATGTTGATATAATTATGGATAAAAAATTATGATGCCTGGACTTTTAAGCTAATCCAAAGTGAGAGGGCAAGCATAGATAAAACAAGATTGGCTACATGTTGACAATAGTTGAGGCAGTATGATTGAGACAGAGCGATGAGTACAGAGGAGTTTGTTATACTTTCTTTTTATTTTTGTATATGTTTGAAATCTTTCATAACAAGTGTATAATTTAAACAAACAAAATATATGTAACAAGACCTTTTCTGTGAATCATGGATGAAACATGCAGCCCCTGACATGGTTTGCATAGAACCAGTATTAGTTTAGTTCAATTTTACCCTTCTGTGTCTCATGCCTTAGAATATACACTTAGAGTCTCTTAATAAATATACATGATTTCTTTTCCTTTTTCCTCATTTTTTAATTATTTTTTCTTGGTGTGTTGTGTAAATCTTTTTTTTTTCTTTTAATTATTATGTTCATTTAGCCAACATTTAGTACATCATTTTTTTTAAATGATCACTGTGTCACCCATACATTCTCAGACTCTACGGAATTAAGAGGCGATTAGGAGTATTTTTTTTTAAGATTTTATTTATTTATTCGACAGAGAGAGATCACAAGTAGGCAGAGAGACAGGCAGAGAGAGAGAGAGAGGAGAAAGCAGGCTCCCCACCAAGGAAAGAGCCCGATGCGGGGCTCGACCCCAGGACCCTGGGATCATGACCTGAGCCGAAGGCAGAGGATTTAACCCTCTGAGCCACCCAGGTGCCCCACATCATTTGTTTTTGATATAGTGTTCAACAATTCATTAGTTCACCATTTCCAAACAAGATAGGGTTATAAAATAAACGTTCTATGGTGTAGCAAAAGTTTCCAAACCCCCTTTGAGAAAGAAGGTCCCGCACCTCTTGATTCATCCCCAAGCTTGATTGTTGCACACAGTATTTCCAAATATGCAAGATTTTTCCTTTGGCCTTTGTATCTCAAGTCACCAGAGTGGGAGAGAAATCCAGAGTGAGGTTGTAATAGCTCCAACCCATTCTTTTCTAAAGAGCCATGCCCCACGTCCCTAAGCAATACTCAGATCTGATGGCTGCAGACTGATAATTGCCCCTGACAAGCTCTACTGGGGCAGTTAGGCAAGGGGAGAGAAAAAGCAACTGGCGGTGAAAACCCGAGTTTGCTGCCTTCCTCTCTTCCTCTCCCCTCCTCTCCCTCCTCTCCCCACCCCTCTAAAACCCTTAGCTGCAATCCCCCCTTCCTCTTCTCTCCCTCTTTTCATGCTCTCGCATCAGATCCCCCTCCTCACGGATCCCCTCGTCTAGCCCCCTCCCTACTCCCACAGCTGTGGATAAGACGCACGCAGCAGCTGCTGTTGTGAGCTAAGCACTGGCGGCTGCGGGTCTCCTCTCCATCAACCCGCCCACGCCCGCCCGGTCTGGATGGCGAAGTCGCGCACCGGCCTTGGGATGAGGGCGGGGGAGAGGGTGGAGTGGCTGGGAGATGGGAGGGTGGAGTGGCGGGGAGATGGGAGGGTGGAGTGGGAAGGACGCAAAAAGCAGCATCTAGGCGGCAGGCGGGGCTCCACTGCGCATCTGGCCAGCAGTGGTCTCTGGGTCAGTGGCTGGGCAGCCACCCCAGAGACGCGTTTCTAGTGGGAATTCAGTGGGGCCCATTCACCGCCGAGCGGTGGTGGCCTGTAGCATCAGCTGGTGAGGGCAGACGCCAGCCTAGCAACACCGCCTAAGCAACCAGAACTCCTCAGAAGGCCGGAGGGATCTGGGAAGAAAAAGAAGCCCAGGAGGAGAAAAGGGCTCCAGGGAGTTCTGCTTCTCAGGGTTCCATCAGGTACTGTTGGAGACCCGTCACGTGGTAGCAAGTAAGTGTCTTTTCTTGCTGTGTGCCCAGCCCCAGAATGGTGAGAGCCACCGTCTGCTGCCAGCCTTTCCCACCCACCCCCAGCCTGCCCCACCCCATACACACCCTTAAGGTATTTAGCAGTAGATTTAAGATTCTGGACCTGAATTAAGAGAGCTACTGCAAGAGCAGCATTGGTCTGCGGATGTTTACTCTGCACTGTGCCTGTGGTCAGTTTTCTCATCCCACCAGGTAAGCTTCTGAAGTCACGATGCTTTACACTAAGAGCAGAATGTAGAGTTTCTAATTTCTGGAAACCCTGTATGGCAATGACTTTAAGGTTACATGACACAATGTTAGAATATAGGGGATAAAAGCTTATGCAGAATGGAGTATACTTTGAAGGAATCCTGTGTCTTATTTTAAATAACTTAGTGATTTTAAGATTGGTGCTTTTCATATGTGAATCAACAATATAAAATTAGGGGCATAGATTAAAAAATTAAAAAAAAAAAGAGGCATAGATATGATGGAAAATGGTGTGCCCAGTTTAAATGGCTGGGCATTTTGGTACTGTTTGGATCAACAGGTTTGCTTTTGTTTTTGTCTTGTTTAGCCTGTAAACTGCATACCTTCTGGAAGTTTTCTTCTAGCAGTGATGAGGTATTCATTGTGACTCTGGTTACATGTTGCCTCTATTACTTAGGATATTGGTCAAAGCAAGACAAATGATAAAAATATGTGGAATGACACACTGATATGCTCCCTTTATTAGTGGAAATGATAGAGTCAAATTTGGGTATTGGTCAGAAAATTCTCTTGAAATGAGAAGTTTGGGTGGTATTTTGTAGATACTTTTCTTCCTGGCTATTGTTCAGTAGAGTGGTTTATGGCAAAATAGAAGGAATCTGGGCCCTATAATAAACAGAGTCTTGTGCACCACCATACTTGCTATTTTCCAGCTCTAATTAAAGTTTCTAAAATCCAGCCACTAATTTTACAAATCAAGAAGATAAGTCCCATAAGTAATTTTTTTAAGGTTACTTAGCTAATCAATGATGAGCTAAAAGTCCAATGAAGACTTGAGATTTAGACTGATAATTTTTTTTTCATTTTTTAAAAATGAAATGAATCATTTAGCTTTTGATTAAGCTTTATTCTTCTTATTTGTAAATGACACATCAAAAGCTTACATATCCTGGTAAGGACTGAATAACAGATTACATGAAGGGTTTTGTGAATGTAATATGTGTAACTGTTGCTTATATAAGGAATTATTTCATGTTTTTATCCACTTCACTATTCTAGTTCTCATTTTACATCTCTATAAAAATGAAAGGGGCTTTGACAGCCTCAGTATAAAGCACTAAAGGAAAAGAAATTCAAATCCAGGTTCCGATCTCTTGGCATCTGTACAGTTTAAAGTATATTCTAATCTGTGAGACTCCATCTTCACAAAATTGTGTGCCATGGTTAACAATTCATATTTAAATACTTTTGAATATTCTCAAAATAAGCTCTACCCTCTTCCTCTTTTTAGCTTTAAATTTTATTTTAGAGTTATGGTCTTACTTTCTTGGGACCTTAAGTATATTAGATATTGTTAAATTTATTTGGCCCATTAATTTATGTAGGAGAAGTGATAGCTTATGTATACAATATTCGACTCTTAACTGCTGGGATTCATTATAATCCTGGACTCAAGAAAGAGGTACTGTGAACCCCTTCTTTCCAATGATGTGTTTGAAAACAGTAGGAGAAAAACCTGAAATTGGATGTAGGTTCAAGAAAAGGGACTTATAGACCACTGATGACATAGGCCCCAAGACCTGCTGTTACTTATCAGTCTCCACTAAGGAGCAGAAGGTAGAGCCAAACACCTATGAACTGGGCATTCTGTCTCATAGCCTCCTGTGGGAGAGGCTCTGGTAGGGTAGTTGATATACACTCCTACTAATTTTGCCCAGGCAAGATGATTATAGCTTTAAAGCACTCTGGGAATGAAACAGCAGTGTTTTGCTCAATACCTTACTAAGGGAAGAAGTATCCTAATACTTCTCAATCCTAGATCTCTGTACCACAATGGGGCTACTCAGAGACTGACTGAAAACCCTATACCTAGCATCATTGACCCTCTCTTGAAAGCTTATGGTGGGGGTATTAGTATAAAAACTTCATTTTGGGGACTCTGGTCCTACTATTTTCAGTAACCAGTACTATTTTTGGTCAGCCGTTGGAGGATATCTGTAAGTGCCACCCATGCTGACTAGCTATTAGCAATGTAGTCATCCACTATCATATGAACTTGTACAGATCTCATTTTCCCCTGAGTTGGCCCCTTTCTCTTCTATTAGTGTGAGCTGAACAAGACCAGGCAAGTAAGTCATCACCTCCACAATGCTGAAGGAGGAAACCTTTAAGGCTGAGGAGAAAGTTTTCATTTGAGGGCTTCTAGGGAAGCCTAGAAGGAAGCCTTTTTTGGCTGGTCTGTATCTCTTGGCCCAGCTGTGATCATGATTTCTGTAGATTTGTTCATTCATTGTTATTTATAAATCAGACTTACTCTAGTTGTACTCCATGCCAGTGGGAGATCCCTCCTTCGTCTGGCAAATAGTTATCCTTCGTATATACACAGTATTCTGGACTGAAGTGACTCAGCTTATTGCTAGCTGAGGATAACTACTCTGTGGACAGTTGTGGACACCACAATCATTGTGGTGGCAGGCAGGTGCCGGACTGACTATTTTAACATCAAACAAAAGGTTAACCAAAATGCTGAAGCTAGCACCCACACCGACACCACCCCCACAACCCTGGCCAGAGAAATTATGACTTTAAAAGTCTGAGATTAGGACAGAGCATTTGGTTTTAAACTAGAACCAAAGGATGCTGATTTGAGGGCCACAGTACCTGGTTGAACATATGGGGCTGAGTGGAATATTTCTTCCCTTCTACTTCAAATGCCAGAGTGAGGCAACTGATCCACCAGTCTTTAATTCTCTGAGTTCTCCCAGAGTTTGCAGGGTCCAAGCACCTGATTACAGGCTATAACTTTGGCTCTGGTCCATATCTGGTCTCACCCTAACATGTTTCAAAGTCGTTCTCCAATTTGAGAAGGAGTTGAATATCTATGTGTTTGGTTCTACGTTTGAAAAACTAGAGTAGTTTTGGGGTGAGAGTAGATCCTGGAAATGCAGACCAACTCTTTCAGAGTGATCAGAAGCAGAGGCAAGTAGCCAGTTCTAAGAGGCCTCCAGGATTCCAGTAAATGTGCCAGTTTTGGAATTTTTTAAAAAAATTTTGTATCCCATAGATCTGATTGTATCTAAAACGATACGCAAAAAGGCCTCAGGATTCCTGATGGGTATAGAAGTTACATGTATAACAATCTCTCCTTTGTATTATTCTAGCAGGGGCAAAAATTCATTCCTCCTTCCTGAGTTCTTAAATGGACTCTGGCCAGGTTCTTCTGGTCAAGGGTCTGACTGACTAGGGTCACAAGAACAGTTAGTTCTGTAAAGATTCTGGCTTTTCCCCAATATGCTTGTTTTGGTAGGCTGGACAGGCACAGCTTGGAAGTTGTTATTGTATCCATAGAAATAAGGGAACCATGCTAGTGAACCATGAGGTTGCTATAGAGAAGTTCAAGTGGGCTTAGTTAAAACTGAGGCAGCTTTCCTTCATGTTCCTGGAAGCATTCCCTGCCTGCATTGGTGGTCATAATGGTTCACTTCTGAGACTCCATCTTACACAGTGACTTACTGTCTTGCATCCACTCAGGGGCTTTCAAATATCCACTGAGCTTTCCATGGGCTAATTCTGGTAAGTGTATTTGAGACCAGATGCTAAGATTTTGTCACATAATACTTTTGTCCAGATTTCTTCTCTTCAGTATAAGTTGTACCACTCTGAATGTGTATGACCTGCACTCCTCCCTGGCAAGAAGATACTTGTGAAGATCTCATCTCCTGATCATTTTAATGAACCATTACTAGAATCCAAGTTTACTAAGTTGGCAAAGGAATTCAGTTTTCAGAAGAGATCTTTTTATTTAAGGGACAGTTGGGACTTGTCTGTTGGGATTTTTGGTGGTACTCATTTATTTACAAGGGTGTGTTACTAGTTTTTTAATCCAGAAGAATTCTTGGATTATAATTCTTACAGAATATAATCAAAACAAAATGGCAATGCCTACATATGTTTTTGAGAAAGTTACTTATTTACAATTTTCCTCTGCAGGATGATGTATTCTAGGAATACTTGGCTGAAATTGTCAGAATATATGAAATATATGAAAATGTCATGTATAAATATATGGTAAATTATGTTCAAGTAGTATAGAAATATTAGCCAGAAGGTGACAAAATTCCCTGACAGTTTTTCCATCCCTCTCCATAGATGTACCAACTTCCTTCCTTCCAGAGGGGCATCATTATGCATGAACTAGCATATTTAACACTATGTATGTAGTTCTTATAAAATACTTTAGTCAAAGGTGAACAGTGTAACCTAATTTCAACATTAGGTTTTCACTAATTTACTTTGGGAATCTTTCCATGTGAGCACAGACATATGTGTCTCATTTTTCAGTATTACTAAATAGCATTCCGTGATAGCAAGATTTTGAAATTTATGGTATCAGTTCCTTAGGACAGACTATTTGATTATTTCTAGTCTTTGGAACTGAAAGTGTGGTGTGAGTAATATCTTGGCAAACATACTTTCTCAAACTTCAACAAGAATATTTATAGGACAACTTAATTGAGGGCCAATGAGTACATGCAACTTTAATTTAGAAACTATTGCCAAACAGAAAAAAATAATGTGCTTATTTACCCTTCTAGCTGAACTGTGTGAGGGTGCCCGTTGCTTCCATATCAGGGTTGCATCCATTGAGAAGAGTTTCAGTGATGTGTTCTAGAACTTTCCGGTAAAAATTATTGACTATTTTAATCTTATCCATATATGTCAAAATTTCATGAGCTTCAGTCACCTTTCTTCATAGCTTTCTACTTTCTAAAA